AGAAAGAAAGAAAGAAAGAAAGAAAGAAAGAAAGAAAGAATCGGAAAAACTAACAAAATACAGAGATCAGGCAATCAAAACATCTCGCTTGTGGATGAAACACTTCAGCGGACCCTGTTGTCATTGGGGCTTTGGGAACAATATCAAGAAATTTCACACAGTAGTATAATCAGTTGCACATCTCAGAAATAAGATGATTAGAGCTACAAAAATGACAGTATTGGGAACCGCATTCTTATTCTGCTGATATTTAACAGATACTTAAATTTTTGGTTAAAACCTTGTATATGTTATATAATAGGAGTCAATATTTTTGAAATTTTGATTGACTGTGTTTGGTATTTTTGAATAATAACAACACTCATCTACCCTGCAGTGTTATAAAAATAAGGCAATTTAAAATTAAAAAAAAATTAAGGCAGGCTAAGGGAATGCATGCTGCCCTTCATCTACCCTGCAGTGTTATAAAAATAAAGCAATTTAAAATTTAAAAAAAAAAATAAGGCAGGCTAAGGGAACCCATGCTGCCCTTTGCAAAGATGGCAACTTCAGCTTCTCTACCCTAAATGAAGCTGCAGCCACCATCTTTGCAAAGGGCAGTGAGTCTCCATTTTTACATGCAAAACTAGAAGAACACAGCAGAGGGTATCGGTGGGGGTGGTGTAGTGTGGTGCCTAAGATAGGGAAAGTAAGGGGGTGGGGGATAGGCTGTGGTATTGGGTGGCTGTGTGGGGTGTGGCTGCCTTTCTGCTGCTGATCAGTTGTTCGGCGGCCGGTAGGCACAATGGTTCTTTTTTGTGTTTGTTTTTTGTTTCAATATGAAGGACAAATACAAATGGGTAACTATTCGTCCCTTCGTATTCATGGGGGTCTCTGGAACCCACAAATACGGATCGACAAATATTTAATGAATCGGCTATATTCGTCGGAAAAAACGATCTGTTTTTATATTTGTTCCCCTCTCTAATCATTACTTTAGAAGTTTATTACCTGTGTTAACAGTGCTGTTGGCACTTTGAAAGTTCGTTGCCTGTATCTGTTACCCATTTGCCTAGATTCCACTCTCACAGCTATATACACTTTGCATGTGGCCTAAATTTTTTACTCCTTGTTTCTGACAACGTGGATTGTATTTGTACCCAAACAAATCTGTTAGTTTTGCCACAGGACTTTTTAATTGTATATAAATACCTTGAATCTTAGAGCAGTGGCAGACAACATGTTACCCTCCAGATGTTGCTGAAACTACACCAGGTCTTGACACAGGTTCCCACCCACAGCTTCCTGCAAGCTGCCTTGAATGTAACATAGAAAGAAAATAAATTGGGTGTGTGAGCTACTCGTATCAACAAGGCATCCTGAAAAATATTTCTCAGGATGGTTGAATAAGGAGCTCCTGCAACTTTATGCATCAAAGCACTCACCAAACCGGTAAAACGGGTCAAACTTGGACAGGCCTTGCATGGCAGTCTTATATGTGAATGCTCAGGCCAAATGTTTTCATCCCTCCCAAGTGATCACTTGTCATGCTAATGGTTCATTGACTTTGTACTCCTTGCCTGGACAGGATAATATCATTAGCAGATTCATATAAAAGGCTATTTAGCTGAATGGGCTTATAGCAGTGTGGAATTTTTAGCCCAATTTGTTTAGGCTTATAATAACAAAGCTTCTATTCAAAGCCTGAGGGTGTTAGTGGAACAGGAAAAGCAATAAATAGATTGTAAACAGTGTCTAAGCAGGCCCTTAAAACATGCTGGAGATTTTGTCCAAATATCAACTCTTGAAAGCAGTGCTGACTAAGAGCATTCATTTGTAATCCCACAGAACTGAACTGCCCTTTCAGAGAGGAAGCTAGTCTCATTGTCAACAAAGCGGTGTATTAATTCTCTGAGAAGCAGGGGGTCTGACTCAGCTGATTAACCCAAAGGTGTTATTTGTTTCTCTGTTCTACTGCTTTTTATATCTTGTGCAAGGTGTTCTGGTTGTCCAATACGTCAGCTTGCCCTTGTATAATCCGATTATTTTTTGATGTTTGCCTATAATTTTGTTAGACTAGGCAAACCATCAAATTTGGTTTGCCTAGTCTAAGCATTTGACAACAAAACAAAAAAGGTTTAGATCAGCAGGTAGTTCTAACTGGAATAGGCCCAGTGAATCAGTCGCCAAGTGGTGCCTCAACATATGTGTAAATCACATTAGTTCAGTAGGTTTACTCCACCTTGCATCTTCATAGATGCATGCCAAGAGGCTATTAAATAGATACAGGGCAAAATCTAGACAAATATATTCATTTATATCCCACATTTTGCTACATTATTTTATCCTCATAGCATCACTGTGAGGTAGGATTGGTTATGGCTGCCTGATTCAAAATCAGCTAAGAGTTTCACAGCTGACTGGGCAAACTAAGCAATGTCCTAATCCTGCTTTTTTCAGGATTAGGACATTGCCATAGCGATAGGTTAGAACAGCTTGTTAAAGCTCTGGGGTCGGGGAGGGTCTAGAATTCCCCCACCACCATGGCGAGTTACCATGTGGATTGAGAGACTCTAGGACAGTGGTCCCCAACCTTGGGCCTCCAGATGTTCTTGGACTACAACTCCCAGAAGCCTTCACCACCACCTCTGCTGGCCAGGATTTCTGGGAGTTGAAGTCCAAGAACATCTGGAGGCCCAAGGTTGAGGACCACTGCTCTAGGAGATACAGATCTAAAAGGTAACTTTTTCACGTCCTGTGGAGCAAGGTTTAAGAAAAGATTCAGATTCAGTTCACTTGGTTCTGAATACAATATTACACTAGTTCTTGTTTGAACAAAATTAAGCCCTTGTGGTTTAAATGGAAGAGTTGTCATGGTTAATATTCTCATGGTGAAATCAGATGATTGGATTTCCCTCCTATGATTTAAGAGATTTTATATTCTGAGGTACTTTATGCTGCTAAGAATGTTGATGTGTCCTCAGGGAGGAAATCACTTGGTTCTGAATACAATATTACACTAGTTCTTGTTTGAACAAAATTAAGCCCTTGTGGTTTAAATGGAAGAGTTGTCATGGTTAATATTCTCATGGTGAAATCAGATGATTGGATTTCCCTCCTATGATTTAAGAGATTTTATATTCTGAGGTACTTTATGCTGCTAAGAATGTTGATGTGTCCTCAGAGAGGAAAAAAAATATACTGAGTTCCTTTCTGTTTATAACTCTGGGATATTTGTTGCTGACAGGATGTTCTGAACCACCTAGTCAAAGCTATGAGTTCTATCCTTCTCTCCCACACACAAGAGATCCTCATTTCCTTTCACTGAGCTATAGACCAGTCTGCATTCATTTTTGTGAGGTTATTTCTTTGTGCAGATGTTCAAATGGAAATACAGCTAGTAACTCTGACGGTTTCTAAAAGAAGTTCTGGGTAGTTTGCCTGGGAAGTGGGGAAATGGTCAGCCTTGAAAAGGACAATCCTCTGCATGGAGATCAGCGTTTGTAGGGCAGGTGGGTGTGCTTACTTGTGCACATAAACTGTGTCAAGACAGTAGTGTGTTCCAGCTACTTGATTGGACTTAGGGCTTTGCTCTGACAGTTCTCTAAGACTCAAATACCATGCCTAAAGAGTGAACTCATTCTCATGAGGATCAGTCTTTATATAGGCAAAACAACTACAGTATCCCTAACCAAGAGGAAAGCATTTGGCTTAAGACAACCCTGAAGTTTGCAGATGTCCAAGCAAAAATCAATTTAGGGGACTATCCAAGTGGGTGAACAAAAAATCCTCCCCTCTCCCCGTGCAATGACTGTGGAGTGTTCATGAGATGGACATTGGTTACTCATAGAACAGTGATGGAAAACCAGGGAGAAAGGGAATTGAATATCCCAAAGGAGAGCGCAACTGTCCTGACTTCTGAACAAAGTCACACTGCAACATCTTGTTGCAAGTCTCATTTGTTCATCAGTTGTATTTAAAACATTTAATGTGCCATCTTTTGTTGTACTGTATCAGGATTTCTGGGTAGCCAAAATCCTCTTGTTCAGCATAGTAAATTGCACTAGAGTAAGCGCATGGAAACAATGGGGATTTGGTGAATCAACTTATTTGTATGTTCCATTGATTCAAATGAGCCTACTTACCTTAAGTCACAGTTGGAAAAGGCCCATTTGAATCAATGGCTCTCAGAGGAATTTACTCACCAAATCCTCATTGATTCAATGGGCCTACATAGCAACATTAAAAAAAAGACATGAGTTGTCTCAATGACTTTGGGAAACCTGCTTTTGATTTTTAGTTGCAATTTTCATTAAGAGAGAGAGAGAGATATATAGAGTGAGGCAACCGTCATGTATCTAACCTGGAAGTAAATCTCATTTATTTCTGTGGGGGTTTACTTATGAGGAAAAAACTCGAGCTGTCAAATTGGTTTGACTGAAAATTTAAATGTTTTTAGTAGACTGCAAATTGTGCTCTCTTTTCCACCCACATTGAATATGAAACCAAGAGCAAAGAAAGCTGCAGAGCGTGTTTCAGAGACGAGGCTGGACCCATGGCAGCTTATCTACTCAGATACCCGCTGGTGAAATGCCAAAGCCATTTGCTTCCTGAAAGGAAGCTATATCATTATATTGTCATGAATAATGAATAGTTTGTGTTCATCTTCAGTCATGGTAGTAGTTTAGATGAACCACAGTCTGATTCAGTCTCAAACAGTTTCTTATGCTGCTCCTTTGATCAGTTTTTATCTGTTTGTGGGGGTGGGCTGAATAGTATAACAAATAATATTACTAATTTATTGTTTGCCTTGAGTTTTTGTCTCAGCAACAAAGTGAGATGCTTTCAATTGATGGAGCTGGAACTACCCCCACATACCTAACAATACTAGGGTTATTTCAGCCTATTAGTAGCTTTATAGTTTTATTATCTGCACCTCTGTTTGCATATGACTGAAGTTGAACAAAACTCTTTAAAATTTGCATTTTTTTCTCCTCCCCCCCTCTTTCCTTTTCCTTTAGGATTATGACTCTTTTTTTGAATCCAAGGAAAGCAACACTGTCTTTTCATTTCTTGGGTTGAAACCTAGTGTGGCATCAAAGGTGAATATTTCGTGATACAAACTACAGTGATATTTTGTTTTCATGTTCACTATGTGAATTTGCTTTTTATAATACATGGCACATTCCCTGACCAGTGAGGTAGAATAAATGAATATGAAGTTTTTAGACAAAATCAGAACTTGAAATTTGCAGTGATTATAGTCTTGTAATTCATACACACCTAAGATCAAGATGTGGGCAATTATATCCAAGTAACTTCATTGATTTTATTCAAACTTTTTATAAGTTAATCTAGTAGAAGTTCAAGGAAAATGATATTTGAAATTTGCTGCAGTTGTATTGGATCCAGCTGAAATGTATCCAGTCTGGTTCATGGTTTACTCTGCATGTAACACTGGCTGAAATCATGTTACTTAGCATAGTAATTCCTGTTAGGGTAGTCTCATTGAATCCATTGAGACTGGGTAAGTCAACTCCCTTGCAACTTCCATTGATTCAAATGGGCCTACTCTGGTTTCAGCTTACTACAGTAACATTCAAATTTCAGCCACAAAATTAGAAAATCTTCGTTGCTGATTCATTTGGAATCCTCTTGCGGAACAAATAAAGCTTTGAGCTTATTTATATGGGGTACTATTTGGGGTTGATCAACATGCTTGACCACGTTGGACCTTAGGATGAACAGTCCTAGAAATGTCTGGATGGATATAGACATGTTTGAATGTCACATATGTGAACCATGATACTTAAACATGACCACTGCTTTCACTGAGAAAATAAGTACTGAATAGTTTGGGTCATGGGTAAAGCTTTGAGCTTATTTATATGGGGTACTATTTGGGGTTGATCAACATGCTTGACCACGTTGGACCTTAGGATGAACAGTCCTAGAAATGTCTGGATGGATATAGACATGTTTGAATGTCACATATGTGAACCATGATACTTAAACATGACCACTGCTTTCACTGAGAAAATAAGTACTGAATAGTTTGGGACATGGGTGTAGCGGGCACACTGGAGCTTATAATAACTCAGGCCTCCTGTATGTGCTCACTCCTCTTCTCAGGTAGCTGGCACCAGGTATTGCTGCTCCAATACCTAATATTCACTGACACTTGTATTTACTTTAAAACTTAAACTTGTTTATTTGATTACATAAAAGAAATAGGTAAATCACAATTAGATAATCAATTTCTTTCAATCACTGAACTCTGTAATATACAGACTCTGCTCTCACTGACTCATTAACACACTGTCTTCTCACTCAGATCTCCACACTCTCTCTCATCTCCCTCACTTCCCCTCTCATACATCATACACCCCTTTTTATCCCAGCCCCTCCCCCTGTAGCACCACCTGCCGTTCACTCATTGGCTTTTTTAACACTACTCGGCTGTGACGGACAGGTGAAGGCAGGGCTGAACGCTACAATGGGTATTTTAAGGATCATTGTTTTCCATTTCTCTTCACATTTATTGTTTGAAATCTGGCTCTGTGTGCCTGAAATTCAGCAGATATTTATTAGCAGCAAGTAATTTTCACCTGTGGTTCAAACTTCATGGACTTTTGTCCTCAAGGAGCTATATTAGGCTTCAACACTCTGTCTCTTTAACACCAGGCCTAAACATAGCTTTTAAAGAAAGTCATTAGACTTAAGTGATTTGGTAGGACTTCTGTTATTCAGTGTTTTTAATTCCTATCACTATTTTTTTTTTTAAAAACCCACTAATTTATATGGGCTAAATATTGTTAGTCAAGGTGAGGGTAAACCCATTAAGGGTGGGACTACACTGGAAAGCTGAATGACTCCAATTTGATTTGCAGTTTGTGGCATGTTTAAAATTGCAGTCAGTGATCACACAGGAGCTCCAGATTGATTCAGGAATTCACTGATCAAACTGGAGAAGATGCATTTCACATTTTAGCCCACAGTCCACCCTGCTTTCCTTTCTTCTTCTGGTCCTGCCTTTGCTGATTCTTTTATGGGGCCTAAATATGGGAAATAAAAGTAACAAGGATCCAGTGATAAGGTGATCCAGTGTTAATGCATATATGTATTTTTTTTTAAAAAATTAAAACTTAAGAGGATTATCAGAGAGAGAGGAAAGAATGCAGGGAAGGTATTCTCTCAGTCCCGAATATCACACCCCAAATGCCTATATCTTCAAAACACCACCTACAGAAATGCCCCTCCACTCCCCAGCTTTACAAGAATGTATCACAACTAATTATACAGGAAAAAGCCCATTCAAATCATTCTAACTTGAAAAGTAGAAGCCCTCCAGCGGCAGGAAAAAAAAAAGCTGCTTTGTGAGCAAAAAGGGCTGGACCGATTCAAATCGGCCTTGGGATCATGTGGTCAGTAACATTTACTTTGAATTCACCCATTTTATAAGTGGAGCAAATCCTGTGTATTTGACTGTGGAGTTGCAGCCTAAATGAATGTCATTTTAAAGGCCATGCATATGTAAGTCTCATTCATGGATTAGATCTGCTGTAGTTGGGATTGATACAATTAGATTTTGTCCAAAAGCATTCCTTGTAATAATACTGATGTGATTTGTTTTTTTTAATTGTGTACATTGATACTTTGTTGTTTTACTATTTGCTGTTAGCAACGTTAAGTTATTTTTTTATAAATTACATCAGGTTGCAAATGATTTAAAATGAAGAAATAACCATAAAATTATTTGTTCTTTTTTAAAAAAATAGGAATCGGAACCTTAGAACAATTTCTTGAGGATTCAACAAGCACATTCTCTTGAGTGAATGAAATCCTTGATGTTCAGCACACAACTTCCCTAGTGGATCACTGTGAAACAAGCCAATATGCACCATCAATATTTCGTTTGACACACTGAAGAAGTGAAATAAGACAGTGGATGTGGATCAGTGAAAATAGTGGTGGTGGGTCCTCTACCTTCTTTGCAACCCTATCTGAAGTTGATGCTGCGGGCTGTTCTGACGAACACAGATGTTCCATTTGAATTAACTACAGCCTCAAAGTGGTTTGTGAGCTTATCATACAGAGTGCATCATCAAAGCTTTGGATGTTTACTGCATTCTGAGCAAAGAGTGCCACAGATGTGATAAAAACAACTCAGAATTTTAAAAAGAAATGATGTTGATCTGAGAAGATCTCACTCCAAAAAACGAAGCAACCACCTCCCCCCCCAAAAAAAATTAGGTAAAGATGATTATTTTTAGAGTATATACTATTTATGCTATTTGTGCTGCAGTGTACTTATGGCTATATTTGTGGCCTGGTGTATTTTTCCATGTAAAAAATAAAAGCCACTTTTCATATCTCAGCTGGTTGGTATGCAGCAGAAGGTTACGAAGCCAAAATGAGAATCTTCCTGCATATTAACCTCACTTAAACACTGATTACTGGGACTTTGACTTGAACTAAGAATACTTACTGATGTACGTAACAAAAGAAAGAGAATTCTTTTTCAAGTACAGTGGTGCCTTGCAAGACGATTTTAATTCGTTCCGCGAAAACCGTTGTCGTGTGAAAAAATTGTCTTGCGAGGTTCCCTATGCATCAGTCTCAAAAAAAAAAAAAGTCTTGTGAAGCATTGGTCTAAATAAAAAGTCTTGCGAAACATCGGTCTAAAAAAGAAGTCTTGCGAAGCACGATCATAGAAAAAAACATCTTGCGAGGCACCATAGTGATGGTAAAAACCAATTGTCTTGCGGGTTTATCATCCCACGAGGCAATCGTCTAGCAAGGCACCACTGCATATCCTAAAGTGACACATTTAAAAAAAAATCCACACTAACTTAATTCTAAAAGAAAGTGCCAGGCATATCTGTCAGTTTGAGCTATATTTACATGAATTTGCCAAAAAAATATATTTATAAAAGACATATTCTTCTATTTTATAAGCATTTATTTTAATTTTTAAGCCTATTGTCAGTGAGATTAACAAAGGTTAAAATCTGTAGGGAGCTCTTTACGGAAACTAGAACCTGTAAATGCTGCTAATCTGAAATTTTAAGAAAATTATTTGTTGCCTTAAAGGTAGAAGATATGGGGAGAGATCTTAAAGACAGGGGCTAAGATTTTAGTGGGTTTCCCCCCCCCCATACACAGAATCATGGAAGCCATCATGGCTAGTTGATAAGGTGCTAAGTAGGCAACCCAGCATGCGACCAACATTTTTTAAAAATCCATATTTTCTTACGCTTTATCAGAAAAGAACAAGAATAAATACAAATATTCAAGTAGAAGGAAAAAATATATATCCCCAAATGAAGAACTAGAAACAAGTTGTCCAAATTTTTAAAAATAAAAGGGCCAGGAGTAGAACAGTAATAACAGTTTCATTTTAAACAGGGATTATGTATACAAGGCATCCAAATACGAATCTGGGCATAAACTTCAATGAAATCTGACCAAAGATGATTCCCCATGCCATAATGGTGGCTAAATGATTGATACTACTACACAAGAAAGGCAAATGCCACTTGTCGTTTACAGGGGACTGAGAAACATATATCTCTTTCAGGGTCTGAATATGTGACATACAAAAGGCACATGGATATCTACCTATATATTTGGCCATGGGTCCAACATGCAATTGGCACCTTGCCAATTAGTTTCAGCAGGTTCTGTAGTTTCTCTTCCATTCATTAAAAAAAAAGAGGTTTCTGGACAGATCCTTATCATTTTGCCTCTAAAATGTGTCACAGTCTAGGGGGACTGTACATTAGCAAAATCCCATCAAAATTAGTGGGACTTACTTTCAGGTAAGTATATATAGGATCATAACTGAATTTTTTTTTTTTAAAAAAAAAGATGCTGGCCATAATCCTGTTTTGAATCCCAGCAGACCTAATGACTGGTCTTGTAACTTTCAGCAGTGAACTGCCACAATTTAAAAAGCTGGAAATTGATGTGCAATGATAGATACCTGTTCTAACTTGTTAATTTGTCACACTTTGCCACTGAAAGTTATGCCACTGGCATTATGTTAGCAGATATCTACAGTAGGATTCTGGTTAGGTTTTTTTTAATTGTTTAGAATCCCAGCATCTTGTCAAAAATAACATCCATTGATCAAAACCTTGAGAGAAAGATTTTGCAGCCTTCCTCTCAAAGCAGGGTATAGGAAAACTGCAAAATGGAACAGCCCCCCCCCCACACACCTTTTTTTTCCTATTTGGACCTGAACTTATGGCAGCTTCTCTTTGGGTAGATTGCACCACTGCCCAGAATTTTTTTATAAATTGCTAGAAAACCATTGCATTTACAGGGCTCCACATATTGCTGAACACATTTGTTCTTCCCAGCATGCCAGCCATAACGGGAGGTGCTAAAATGTCAGAGCCGCAAATATATGGATGCAAGTTAGTTGATTTTGTTTTGGCTGCTTTGCAGTTGAAAAATCCCTTTTGAGCACATCAACAGAATCTTATTCTGGATTAGCTTTCTTTTGAACATCTAACTTCTTGTACCAGCCAAAATGGTCACCTAGGCAGACTTAACAACGTCTCTGGATATATTTTGTTATTACCTGCTGTCAAGTCACTTCAGACTTAGAGTGTCTCTTTCAAATGATGACTTCCAAAAGTTCATTAATGCAATCTGGATGCTCAGATGCATTATTTTATACAGAAAGTTCTGGAGTAAGGAAAATCTTGTCAGTAACTATAAATTTCTGTCACCTCATTGAAAGTCCATGTTGTCCCGGAAAAAAATATAATTCAAAGCTTGTGCCCAGGGCAAATTTAGAGGTGCTTAAGCCACAGCAGTAATAAGTAGTTATGATCACCTTAAATCTCATTCATTTCTATGGGATTTAAGTGTGGGACAGGGCCAAACTACTCATTACACTTATTGCATACGATGTAGCTATGTCCTTGATGGAGATGGGGGACTTATTTTATTAAATATAAACACTATATCAAAGTGGGTGGAAATATTTGCTTTGAATGCAATGAACAGTGCTGCTGTCCAGCGTTATTCTGACCAGAAGTTTTATCTTGACACAGCCTTGGGGGCTTTGAAAGGAGATTTATTTGGCACCATAATGTATTGCATTCAAAGAGCTAAATCCAGTCATTAGTACCACTCAGACTTAGACCACTTAATAAATGCAATTTGTTGAATCGACATTTGTGCATGTCCCTTTGATTAGCAGAAATCACTAGTAAGTTGCAATTAGAGTAGACCCATTGGATCAGTGGAATTTATGGAAGAGCTGACTCGCCAAACCCTTTTGATACAATGGCCTGTTCTAGTTGCAACTTACTACTGGATTGCTGACAGTGAATTTACTACTGTTGGGACTACAGTTGGATTCAGCTGGAAGTTGGAATCATTTCCTTCACCCACAACTGAAACTGAGCTTACCAAAAAAACCCTAGTAACTATATGTTGCCAACACAGGATTACAGCTAGCCCTAGTTTCCTGTGAACACAAAGCCCCACCACTGCAAAGGCTTTCTTCTTAATGTTGATTAAAATGCTCTTTTTATCTGCAGTCTGAAGTAGTGGAAACAATTCAAATATTAGTTCTAAAATTACAGAATGAAAGAAGTAGAAGAGAAGCCAAATGGAACTACCCACAAAGAAGCTCCAGTGGTACAAACACAAGTAAAAGTTAAATGTGTATGAGGAACCCTGTTTCGTTGATCAAAGCTCAGGGAAATTTCAAAAGCAGTTTGTTTTTGAAGGCAGGATAAGTTCACTCTGTTAAGTGAGGGAAAAGTTTAATTATCCACTGTGCTATCCATTCCACTGTGTGCATGCAAGCTGTTAAGCATGCTTAAAGTACTTCTTTGGATGCTCACTAGTTTTAGATTCAGCAGTGTTTATGGTAGGTGAAAGATCTATTATTTTTAAGATGCCTTAATTTTAATTTTATTTCTTTGGGAAACAGGGAACGTATTTCAAAACTTGATCAAAATGTGTCCTATTTTCATGTCTAGACCAATATTCTCTGATAGCTGGTGAATGCTATTTGGTCTTGAATTACACGTTTGGTTTTTGTTTTATATTAAAGTTTTGTAAAGTGCCCAAAATCTTTCTGTGTTATTTTTGTTACATTACAGCCTTGTGTATGTTTTATGATAATGTAATTGTACAATGCATCCTTTCTATCTGTTCTTAACATTTAGCCTAGTTTATTTTGTTTACTGAACTCTTAATTAGCTAGGCTTTTGGTTTTTCATTCTTCTAACAATGTGCTCATGTCAGGAAATACAGTAGGTTTGTTAGTCAAATGTGGTGAAGACTTGTATTTGCGTAGATCTCTGTACACATATGGAGCTGTTCCTGCACATATACAGTGGCTAAATCATTATGAAACACTGCAGTTGTTCCAATGTAAGTATGTGCTTCAGCTGCCTGGTTGACTTTGTAGCTGTCATCAGTCTTGATCTTTATTTACTGTATTTATAAAATGATTTCTGAGTTTTGGTCTCCCCCAAATGACTGTGTCTAAAATTTATTTATTTTTTAAGTTTAATACATTGCACACAGCAATACTGAATGAAGAAGAAAAATAATCCTTAAAATACACAACACAGCCAATACTGTAATCACTCAGAAGCTAATCAGGGTAAAAGTATTTTAACACACTGTCTAAGGCTAAGTACAGAAGAGTACAGCCTAAACTCCTTTAAGGAAATAACTGTTAACTGGAGTGCCACCAGGGAGAACCTCTGTCCCCACCAACTTATATTGCCTTGACTTGAAGGACCTAGATCAAAAAGAGCTTTAGGCAGTCCAAATATGCATGGTATTAAGAATGAAATTACTTTGTGAGAAATCATAGGCTTTGCTTCAGAGGCATGTCTAGCGAGGGCACCAGAGTGGGTGTTCTTGGTGGCTGCTTCCAGATTGTGAGGCTGCTTTCCAAAGGAGGCTAGATTGGGGTCCTCCCTCGGGTCCCTCCATCAGCAGGCAAAAAACCTTTTTTTTTTTATTAAGCTAGACCTTTGGCCATTAACTGACTTTTAAGGAAAAGTCTTCTAAAGATAGATGTTGTACACTTTTTTTCTCTATTGTGCTTCAAATATTTAAATTCAGTGCTTGCTTTTAATAACTCATTTTAATATTATTGTGATGTGCTCCTCGCACTAGCCTGAGGCCCACAACATATTCTGCCCTTTATGCTGCCACCAGTTGACCTCTTGTCAACACCCTTTAATTAGAAAGATTGAGGTCCATGCTGAGTATAAAGCTGAACAAAACAGGTTTATTGGTTAAAGTTTGCTTAAACAGGTTCTTCACAGACTTTAAAATATTTTTTAGATTAGTAATAACTCGTTTCACTCTTAACTCTCTTAGCTCTCTACA